CGCTCCGTCGTCGTTAGGATGGTGTAGTAAGGCCGCTCGCATCCTTTGCAACGGCATACATCTCTCGCTGTGTTTGAGATCGATCGCCCTTCAGCACTCGTTGAAGTACCAACGGCGGAGCAGTTCGCATGCGATGTTGAAGCCGTTTGGTATCTCTTTCGAAGCCTGCCGTGAAAATCGTTTCGGCCAACTCGACCGGAGGCGCAAAGACAAATGTGGGCGCCTCATCATCAGAGAATGCGTCTTCATCATCACTCGGATCGTCCTCGTCGTCAACTTCACTCTCACAAAGAAGAAAGCCCGGATATTCATTATGCAGACTAATGCGGGGGTCGGCAGGTCGCGGCGGGGGATTAAAGGGAGGCAATACCAAATCTGAAAAACGACAACAAATGTCGACCATATCGCCCATTTCCAGCCAAGGAATTGGAAGGCGGTTCACATTTCGCCCAATTGTTCGAAAGAGATTCGCAACAGCCGCGTCGCTGGGATCTACGGCGGCTTCCGAAACATTCGCCACCCCTTTCCGCGCCAACCAGCGGTTTCGAACAACACGCATTGCCTTTAATATGGGAGCAAATTTCGACTGTGAGGAAAGCTTGAAACGTCGGCAGTTTGCAGACTTCTCTAAGCAGTCGGCGAACCACTCCAAATCCCAATCATCATACTCGTTACATCGGTCAATGATGGACTTTGCGACAAAGGAAAGTTCAGAAATAGGGCCGTGCACCTCGCCATGAAGTCCAAGGGCAATTTGGGTTGTGACACATTGTCTGCAGCCCATGTGACGCGCGAGGTTGCGCCCACGCATCACCTTGGAACACAGAGGGCACTGCAAAGATTCCCAAGTCGGATCAGAACTTTCGTCCCCCGCGAGACGAACAATCCAACGATTCCTTTCATTCGTTATACGAAAAGTAGGCCGATGAATAAGAATAAATTCACGCACATCACCAAACTCCGCCACAGTTTCCTTGCTCGCTAGTGTAGATAGCCGATTGACCAGCACATCCAACTCCACTGCTCCACCACAGCTTCGAATTGCCTCTCGAATAAAGCGTACACCGAGTGGAAAAAATCCCCGCTTCACGCCATGCTCATCACGTGGAAACTCCAAAGGCATAACCACATCCGAATAATCGGGCATCTTCCCATTTTGAATAGCTGTACCCCGAACACGGTGAAGAAGTTCTTCCTCCTGGCGCCGATCCATTTCCTTTCTATTTCGCTCCATCACTTCACGAAGACGCTTTCTTCTAGTGTTCTCATAATTCTTCAGGTAATCGGAAGGTAGTGCCTTCACATGCCCATGCGGCGCGTCAGCATCGGGATGAATCTCAGGGACGGCAATCTCCTGCGGCCGCGCAGGGGCATAGCTACTCGCCATGTTCATCGCCATCTGACTGTCAATAGTTTTCACTTGCAGCGTGTGTTTCACCGCCGCCGGTCTCTGCGTTCCAATGGTTTTTGTCAAAAACGCGCCGCTAGTACGCATGGCGTTGCTGTGCATTGCAAGAATACCCTGACTCCGCTCTGTAGTGCTAGTGGTGCTGGCAGTTTCCTTCTGCGTATCGGGGTCAATCTCCAACAAAATAAGAGAAACCAGCGGGGCACCAAACACCACAGCAATCGACGACTTTAAAAGCGTCTTAAAGTCATCCCACTCCGCAGTTCCTACCGCCGGAGCTGCCGTCGCTGCAAGACCCCGCAGACGCGGCCGAAGCGCGTCCAAAAAATTGGCATGCTGCTTGGCCAGACGATCTATGAAAAACCAAAGAACAAGGCGCCGGGGCCCTTGGGACGTGCGTAGGGCATTTTCCGTGGCATCCATAATTGCCTCGACGCTCGCCAAGTGAGACTCGCACTGCGTCGCAAGTTCCGCAATGTGTTCCAAGCTGCAGCCCTCTGCAAGCGAAGCAATCGCATCACTTGTCTCCCCCAGCGAAAGACCCATTTACGCAGCCAAAAATAAACTCATAGTGATACAACAACAGCAACAATAATAATAATAATAAGAGCATAGTAGATCGCAGCAAATGAAGAAGAATAAAAAAAGAAGGAATCCAGACGCACCCCAGAATTTAATCACAATAACAATGCCAACGCCAATAACCGTGAAAACATTCATCAGCAGAATATGTATATATATACGTATATATATGACGACGCAAAAAAAAAAAAAAAAAAAAAAAGCAAGAAAATAAAAAGAGCATAAAATTCACTTAAACTACAGGCTTTGTCCACATTAACCACAGCCTTCTTCTTTTCACCAACTATTTCCTCTTCCAATTTTTCGCTTTGAAATAAAATAAAGCCCAAAACTCAACGACAACAATACACCCCCCTTTTTTTTTTAAGGATATTGCGGAAATTCGGTAAATATGCCCCCCATTCCTTTCTTTTTTTTTTCCCTTGGTATGTGTTTTTATTTATATTCTTTTAGGTACATCCATACAAAGGACAAAAAAAAAAGCCACGCCGCAAGCGGAAACCCAAGAGACAATCATCAACTTCCGCTTATTTGCGCCGGTATTCGAGAGGCAAATTGAGCTGCAAAGGCCCGCTGAGATGGTGAAGGATTAATTTGCGAACGGGTAAAACGAATTAGTTGCTCCGCGTCGTCAAACGTCATCCCTCCATAGGAAGTCAGATAGCACATTGTCACCATCCAGCTACGTCCTTTTCCGGCCTTACAATGTACATAAACCACACAATTCTGCTCCTTGATGCAGTGATGCATCTGTTTCACGGCATACAAAACGCTACCAAAAGATACATTGGCCGTAGTATCTGGCATCGGCAGACGAATATATCGCACGGCAGGACTAACATATTCATGCCAACTCGACTCATCGGCAAAACTGATCATCTGAAGACCAAAACCCTGAACTTCCGCATCCTCCAGACATGCAATAACAAGGCCTAGCTTCTGCTTACGAGACTCCAACTGTTCTCGTATCTGCACCAGATGGTTGCCACTGCTACCAACCTTTGTGACCACGGGAAGAGCACCGAGAATAAGCCGATCGGTTATAAAGTTCCAGTGCAAAAAACCCGACGTAAGGCCAACTTTGCGTCCAAAGTAGCCCGGCACAAGAGTGGCAACAAGAGAACCCCAAAAATACGCCGCCTTTCCCGCACAGGCTAAACTCTCTTGTAAAGTGAGGAGCACATCGCCCGGGCCGTCAGAGTTTGTGGCAGCAGCCTTCTCGTGCCCTCCACGCAGCTGCAGCCGCCGCTCCCCCTCTTCAATAAATTCTTGGTAAAGCCTCTTAAGCCGAGCCAGTTCAAGCCTTTCCTCCTCGGAAAGCTCCCCGCCCCAGTTTACCCGCTCCAGCAATTCTGACAGGCGCTTCTCGTCCTCACGAGAGTAAATACTGGAGCTCATAACATTCACAACCTTTGATTCCACTCAAAAAACCGCCCACCCAAAAACAACAACAAGGAAACAATGAGAAAAAGTGCCCATCATTCCGTCTTTTTTGTTTGGGAAAGAGAGAGAGAAAATACATTTTCTTCTTTTCACGCTTCCCATAACCAAAATGACTTCACAGAGAGTAAAAATTTTAAATTTTAAGCAAATGCATCGAACACACACACAGACCTACATTTAATCAACAAAAACACAAAAGAAAAATAAAAGCTGGGGTGGAAAGCCCTCACAACGATCCAACACCACGAACAACACCGTCCCAGCGCCAACCAGGCTTGATGCCAAACGCATTGTCCCATTTTCGGTCAGTAGGACGACCTAGCGGTGGAAATCGCTTCGCATCGTGGGGGAGGTATTGGGAGAGCAGTTTATCGTCAACCATTCTTTTTTTCTCTGCGTAGCTCAGCGTAGTGAAGTACACTTGAAGCAAACCCTCGGAAAGTAAGCCCTTCCAATGCTCCGGAACGTCATGATCGACACGAAGCGCCAGGCGTTGCAGTCGGTCAACGACTATGGAAGGAGAAAAGAATGATTCCATCAGCTCTTCTTTTTGCTTTGTATCCTGACGCTCCTTCTCGTTGCATTTCCCCGGCGCAACACTCACCTCGTCTAAACTCCTGAGACTTTCATCGCTGGACTCCTGTCCACCTACACCCATAGCCATTAAAAAGTCGCTTTTGTTTTCCAACGCGTGTGGGAGAAGCGACCCTTCTGCGTAATCGTCATCATCGTCGCTGTCGTAACGAGGTCGCTTCATCAGTAATGAGATGCTTTCAATTTTTTTATAAAAACAATCGGAAACGATTATCAAAGAAAATAAAAATAAAAACAGCGTTCAGTTACACATACAAGGTCTAAACGTGCTTTCATAAAGTTCTAACACTAGGATTAATATATATACAATAAAAATATCGCTTATTTTCTATTCCGATAATGGTCCAGACTAAAATGAGGTGGAAAAACAACAAAATCAACTCTTTTCTTGTGCTTTCCCGTCGAGAAAAAAAGGGAACATCGCCCGCCAACCCCCCGCCGCAAAACAAGCACATATAAAGCAAAAGCCAGAGAAAAACATCTACAGAGAGAGAGAGAGAGGGAAAAAAAAGAGAAGAGTAACCTCTCCAAATAAGTTTAATCTCGGAAGATGTCAAGAGAGTTGCTGGTATATTCAATCTATCCGCAACCCATCTTCCAGTAAGACATTCATCCAGTTATGAAAGGTTAGCGCGATCAAGTGCCTTTGGTAAACGAATCGTATATGACGGCTCCTCTTTCATAAAATCCTCAAACCGTCTCACTCCACTGCGCACAGGTATTGTTTTTGAATGTGTCGAGGGGACATCATTGGTGGCATTAGTCTCGTCAGGCAGTGAGGGTTTAGAAGGAAACATGGATTTAGCTTGTAACGTTTCGATGGCGGGAGAAACCATTCCGCCATGCTGACGCCCTTGTGGCCTTTGCCGAGGCGTAGAAGTGGTAGAACTATTTGCTCGGGAAATCATTTCATTTGAAACCGCTTGATGAGCTACTTTTCGCAACTCCTCTACTTCCCGTTGAAGGTGGTTAACATGGCGTTCATAGCTTTCCTTCACCATCTGTATCATCTCCTTCACAGCCCCAGTTTCCATGTGCTGAGCACATAACCCCTGTAGACGGCGTAGCTCTGCCTCTGATGCCTCTCGCTGCCTCCGCTCCTCTTTCAATTCATTTATACACGATTCAAGATGCTGCTCCACCCTAGAACTGACATTGTTGGCCTCAAACAGTTTAGCACGCAGGTACTCCACATCTTCAAACTGAGTGTGGTCCATTTTCTTTTCGTGTTCTCTTCGTTGATTACTCACTGCCTCCAGAGAAATTTCACAATCTCGTCGAATCAGCTCCGCCCTTACCTGTGCCATCTCGGACTCACGTTCACTAAGCTTCTGTTCCAAGAGAAGGATACGGTTGCGATAAGAACGTTCACGCTCGGCATAATCCTCCAATTCCCGTTGATGATAATTAACAACTTCAAACCACTGCGATACATGCTGTACATCTTTTCGTGGGGAATCTTTTGGAAAAGCCCGGGATGCGACCAATCCATCCTCTACAGGCAAAGGTGCCGATGGTGGTGGTGGCGACGACGATGATAACGGAGGAAAATAAGGTACTGGGTTGTGTGTCTGGGTAGAAATGCTCTTTTGTGGTAATTTTTCTCCTTCGGGGACTGCACATGATGTCTGACCACGCAATTGCTGGGAGAGCTCTTCGCACCGAGTTTGAAGCTCACTCACTCTTGATTGAAGCATTTCTTCACGTCTTGTAAACTCTGCTTCCAGAGACGCGCAATCTCGCTTGGCTGTCAAGAGAGAATCCCGTAACTTTTCAACTCCACCCTCCTCATTGTTAACACGCTTGATCCGCCGAATCTGCCGTCTCGCATCCTCCAGCAGGGCCATATAGTGTTGAATATCCTCTCGCAACCGATTCATTGCCGGTTCCATCACGCGCTTGTAGGTCTCTAACTCATACCTCGCACTACAATTGTACGGATGCTTCTCCAATGAACTGCATCGGTCGTGTGACGGACGGCTCAATGACCGCCGACCATTGCCTGTGACGTCCCTGCGTTTTTTAAATCCTGTTTTATTACTGTCTAACGACTTCGTCCTCCGTTCAGATGGAGTGACAAGAAGGCCCGTTGGCTTTTGCTGTGGTGCCGCCAAGGAGGACAAATGATCGTCGGTAATTCCATAAGTGGGACTGTTTCCTCTTTCTTCCCCTTTTTTTTGTTGACCTGGATTTGGTGTGGAGTGTAAGGAAAATGACGATGATAACAATGATACCGATAAGGAAGGGTGCAGCGAAGTAGTTTTAGACAACCTCCTCCTTGTCTTCTCCCACGGGCCTAACAAACTCGGTTTGGGAACATCCTTGCGGGGTTGTACCTCCACCTGCTCGTCACAGTTCTCATTGGAATAATCTCCTTCTTTAAAACCAATTCTTTGGCAAGCCTCACTCACACTCGCACCAACACGTGAGCTGTACACACGACACAATGTATGTGCGATGCAGAAGGACTCCTTGAACGTTTCCCGCTGTTTAAGAGCTGCTACACTGGTTGGGGCAAAGCAAGAAATCCATAAACCCGGTTGTTGACCAAGAAGTGCGGGTTTTAGGAGAAATGAGAGTTTTGTTCCCGAAAACGTCATTGAAGGGGACCGGCTCTCTATAAGCGACGCTGCCGTCGTGATGCAGTGTCGAGTAGACCACATTCCTCGTGCCATTTCAGACACTGACAACGCGACAAACTGAATGGTACAATTCGGTAGACCCGATGCCTTTTGGGGGACAAGGATAAAACTAAAAATTTGATGCCGTTCAGGCAATGCGACTCGACGTGCATGCTGCATCAGCCTCGCAATATCTGCTTCGGCCCTAAGTTCCATGTAGGACGCGTCTTCGACGGACGTGAAAAGATCTTCAGCATCCTCAAAGATGATCGGCTCCTTCTCCGCAGTAACTGCACACGCTATATCCCTCAGTCGATTGTTGTCGTCCAGCTCCACAACAGCGATGTAAACCGCCCCCAGAATGCTTCTAAACTCCACCGCATCCATCAACAAGCGCCAAAAGAGTGCCAGAATACCCTCTTCTGGGTCCAGCAAGGTGTGGAACCGTGTCGTCTCTGTCCCGTCCACCACGACCACAACTTGTGGAGAAGATATAGGAGGCAGAACGGTGCGTATGATGGGCCTGACCGCCTCCTCAAAAAGACTATTGGCTGTTGTCGTGTAGTAATCAAAATTCATGTTTTTCCTTGCCCGGGCATCTGTTACATCCGCCATGATCGCCTCGTTCTTGTTGCGAAGAAGCGTGTAATACGAGACAAGTGCCTCGGCCGATGTCCCGCATATGCGCTGAATCTCCTCTCGTCGATACTCCCGCACCCCCACCAGCATGCAGACGCCTCTCCCTCATCGCAATTCCGCAAAAACAAAAAAAATAATAATAATAATAAATAAAATAAAATAAGCTGAGAGACAAACCATCAACATCGTGGTTAAAAACGCCCTCAGATCCAAAATTAAAACATAAAGAAGTGCGGGAGAGAAGCCTCCCAAAACGGAAATAACGGCAGTAAAAAAAAAAAAAATGCAGTAATTACATTTTTTGGCGTATCAGGGCCTCAGCCCGTCTTCCACAAAAGAATTGACATCTGACCAATATAAAAATAAATAAGGTGCTTGCTTTCGTGAACAACGTCAGCAGCAAAGCTTCGACCAGCAATGCATTGCCAGGTGGGATTGTAGCGCTTGTCAAACTCCTTCTTTATATGGGCGGCAATATCCTTTTCCATTTGGTGCTCCTTAATTGCCTTCGTGGCCACCGTCATTGCGTCATTCTGCATCTCCTCGCTGATGTCCGCGAACTTCACGTTTGGCTTCCGGTCGCTCATTAATGCAAAATAATGTGGGTTACGAGTAAAAAAAAAACGACCCCTTCCTCTGAAAATATGAAGATGAACAAGAGTGCGTTAAGACAAAAAAAGTAAAAAAGCATACAACACTGCGCATTCCTAAAAATGCATAATTCAGTATGATGGCAACAAAAACAATATATATAACAAGGGAATTAATACAGAACGACGAGAAGGACTAATAATAGCAACCTCCAAGAAACTGTAACACCACGCGCACTCCCCTCCTCATTTTTTCTCCCTGATTGCGGTTATTGCTGTTCTTTTTCGTTCTTCTAAATGCCTCGTTAACCTTGTGGTGCCTTGTTAGCGCTGGTAGTAGAAGAAGCGCGAGTGGTCTTTAACTCCTCCAAAAGCTGCCTATTAATTTGCAGAAGCCTAACAATCTTCGCCTGAAGGCCCTCATTCTGCTCCTGAAGGTCCCTCTCATGCTTTCTCAGTGCTTGTTCAATTTGCTCATGGGTCTCAACCTTGCTGCGGAGCCGGACCAACTCCTCGTCACGCGCATCCAATTCTGGCGCGTCTGCAAGGCATCGCCCGGGCTCTGATATTGTCTCCGCTTTTTCATGCCCGTCATTGTTTGACATCGTTTCGGCAGAGGATCCAACAATTGATAAAGCTGTATCTTTTGTGGCTTCCAATGGAAGAGCGTGATGGAATAACTCCGCGTGCTGGAGTGCCTCACGCAGTGCGTCAGCCACCTGTCGCACACCATTGCACAGGAGCTGCTTTTCCGTCACGTCACCCTCAGCGGCGGGTGAAGAAAAGATGACTCTTTGTACCTGCGACAGCTGCTCCTTCATCTCGTTAATACCACCCGTAAGTTGTTCTAGTTGTTGCATCAACGGCATAAACCTCTCCATTTCCGGCGTTTCATTAGAATCACCCGTTGGTAAGACCGGCAACTCCATTGTTTTCCCTTTTTGCAGATTCCGCTGTAGTTGGTGCACCTGTTCAATGAGGACCACCTCGCGCGCCAAACATTCTTCAATGGATTTAATGAGACGACTGTTGTGATGTTCAAGCTGTTCAAATCGCGCCACTGCGAATTCCTTCTCATGGTTGTTCTCCTTTAATTCTTTGCGTAATTCCTTCAATTCAGCGAGCGCAGCCGTTCGAGCTGCAGCAAGTGAAGACACCTCTTTGCGCAATGTGGTAATCTGTTCAGCTGCCTCCATGGCATCAAGCGATTCTTCAACCGGAACTTCGTGCATTAAAACTCTTTCCACGGCAGTTAAGCTGTGCTGATCAATAATTCGCTCACACCGCGCCAGTCGCTCCAGTGCCGCATCACGATCCACTGTAAGTTTTTGCACCTTCTCAAACAACAGGCTGATCTGACGTGCATCCGAGATGGAAGTGTCCAGAAGACTCGTCTTACTGATCTCATTTGTGACCAAATTATCAGAAACAAACTGCAGGGCGTGAACCAATGCCTCTCGCATCATCGATTGGACCTCTTGCTGTTGCTGCGCCATCATAATTTCAGCGCCAGATGTAACTTCACTGTGTGAAACCGTAGGAAGAAGTGATTGCAAAGACTCCAGCAACTGCTTCACCTGCCGTTCAAAAGACGCCATATCTTTCTTTTGCCGAATCTCTGACTCTTCAATCATCCTTTTAAAGGATGACATTGTCCTATTCAAATGCATCTCGCTTTCCGCCAGTACCTTTTCCGCACTTTCCGTAAGACGCTCCGAGGAAGAAAAACCGCACGCTTCTTGGTCGATTAACAGCTGCTTTTCTACACGGTTTAGAGCAGCAGACATATCCATTACAGTCTGCTCTGTCACCATCAAGGCATTGCTTGCATTTTTCGATGCCTTCTGCTGAATCTCTGATGACGCCACCGCCACCGCACTCCTTGTGTCTGCGTCCACCAGACCATTTCGAAACCGATCAAGTTCTTCCTCGTAATAATGACGCAGCGAAGCCAAGGTGTTCGCCACCTCATCGTTCGCGGAGTCATCTTGCATTTGCTGCAGCTTCTTCTCCAGTAACGCGTTTCGTTGCTGTTCCGCAAATAACTTTTCCCGAGTAACGTTAACCAATGTTGCCATCTGAGCCAAGTCATCAAGTGCCTTTGTATGGTCCGCCCGAAGCAGCGTAAGTTGCTGTACTAGAGCATCGTTACTGCTTGGACGAATCCGCTCACGAACAAGATCAACCAATCGTTGTTCCACCACTTCGCGCCGTCTTTTTTCTTCAAGAAACCCCTGATGCACTGTCAGAGATTCCCGCCGTAGAGACTCCAGTGACAACTCCAACTCCCTGTATTTCTCTTCGGCAGTCATGATACGTGCCTCCTGCTTCTGCCATGAGTCCACCAACTCTGAGAGTGTCATATCTTTATGCTCCAAGAGTCGAAGAGCAAAATACTCCGGCGCGGTACGTTTTAAATCCTCATTAGGAGGTTCTGTGCCTTGGCGAGGGGGGACAAATTTGGGTGGCAAAATAGCCTCAACGATCCCCGCAAGTTCCAATTGATTCTCCAGGAGCTTCACATGTGTCTTGGCCTGACGCAACTTTGTTTCGGCAAGATCAACATCTTTGCTCTTTGCGGCAAGGATGCGAACAATCTTGATGAGCGCCATGACCTCTTCATGTTGACGCAGCGAGGCATTTTGATAAAAAGAAAGAGAACTTTGGAGGCGAGCGACTAAAATGTCCCTTTTGAATGATAAAAGTTCCGCTTTCATTGCCCGACGAGAGGACACCTGAATGGCCTCAAGTGAATTTCGAAGAAGCTCTTGCACATGCAAAATAAGTTTATTGTTTGTTTCCCGTTCCCCGGCTAGTTGTGATGAAAACAACGCAACTGCTGTCTCATGGGCCCTGCAGAGACCACTTGACACCCCCTCTGCAGCCAAGGAAGCAGAGCTTAGTAGCTGTTCTTGAAGCGTTGCTATGAGATGACCCTTTCGACGCGCATCATCAGCGACAGCGATGTGGTTCAATGCGTCGGCAACTCTGTTCCGCTGACTCTGCACAATTAATTTCCACAGCTGCACAGCGGAACCGCCAGAGGCGTTCAGCGCCACTTCCATTTGCCGGAATCTCTCCAACAGAGACGCCAACACCGCTCCATTCACCTTCCCAACGCTACCCACAATGTCCTCGGTTTCTGCTGCCACGCTCTGAATTGCAGCAGTAACTTCTTCCAACAACACGTCGTCGACCTCATCTCTCCCTCTCTTTCTGCCAGCGATCATGGCCGCACAGTACGCACCCTAAAAATCCCTTTTTCCACCCCCTTCCAAAGTAAAAAGGCATTTCAAAGATATTTGCACACAAAAAAAGCAGAAAGAAATAAACAAAAAATTTTATTATTATTTTTGCAGGGAACACAGCTGGAGAAGATGCTGGTGGCAGACCGCCGTAAAACGCATCCGCAAAGAAACATAAAAAATATCAGCAACACACAAAAAGAAGGAGAGAAAACAAAAATAAATCAAAAAAAGTCTATGAAAATTGTGTGGTTCACGTCACATTCCAAAACAAAACGCCTACAGTAAACGAAACAAACACGCACAAAAAAAAAAAAAAAGGACCCTTTGTAACGCAGCAAATCCCTCTTTTCTTTATATCTATGTAAAATAACGAAGAAAGTAGATAATTTGAAAGGGGACAATCAACGCACGATGGTAGATTTCTCCCAAAAATAAATAAATAATAAAAAGTAAAAATAAAACGCAGGGCAAATAAAAATCTTGGGTCGGTAAGAAGTTCGCCTCTTTCGTGCTTTACAACTCGTCCGCATCGTACGGCGTCTTCCGTAAGGAAGAGAAAACAGGTATTGGAGGAATCGATTCATCATCGGAGTCTTCCACGTCCCACTCATGAGATGGCTTCGCCTGTAAAATAACTGGCGCGTTACCCTCGCCTCTCCCCGCTGGTGATGTATCTAATTTCGGTGGCTTCGAGTGAGCCCGTCTAAAAATTGGTGAAGCTTTGTTGTTCGCACCTGCGACCCCGGCGTCCACTATGGACAGTGAGGCAGTAGCGGAGACGTTCGAAGACGGTGACTCATCAACTTGCTTCCCAGCAGGTGGTGTGGTTAGCAACGCAAGCTGTCGGGCCACTGCAGACTGCAAAATAAGCATATCGTTCAGCTTGTCATCCATGACCTTGGCGTTGTGCGATGTCATTCTTGCTACTTTTTTAAGGGCATCTAGAACTGGACTGAGGTCAACGATTTCTTGCGGTGGATTTGCCGCGCAAAACTCTTGCAAAACACGTCGAACATCGCCAGGGAGTTTCTCGTGAGACGCATTTATTCCGTTGCCGTCCTCATCGTAATGCATTTTTCGTGCAAAATTATTGCTGTTGTTGTGTAACTCGTCCTCAGTCGCGTAAATAGCCTCCGCAGTTTTTTTTATCGCAAAAGGTTGATGAGGGAGAACACTCTGTAGCGTCTCCGAGACCGCTTGGGAAACAACAGTATATAATTCGTCAGGCTGCTGCTGCTGCTGACAAGACAGG